AGGACCCGTGGACTTCTGCTATGATAGCAGGATAACAGCACCCATATATTGACCTCGGGATTCGAAATAGGTCAGGAACCTCCTAGAGGATCTAAATCAAATTGTCTCAAATCTCTTGTGTGCAGATGTTTGATATGACTTTAGGCGGTCTGGCATGATCAGAATTTGAGGCGCTCTCCCCAGGCGCCCGATGTCGTCGACGACCGTAGCTCTCAAAGCCCTGGAGAGAGCGGTATACATGCATATGCAACTTTGTGCCATCTCGCCACATCTCAATTGAAGACGAAACTGTCTTTACTCTGTTTCAATCTCCCTCATATTTCCTTCGTGGAGAGAGGGAGGGAAAAGGGGCGATACTGTTCTCGTGCGTCGCAAGAGCTATCTTGTTCCGTACACACGTGCACAGGTTAATTCTCTCCTCCTAATCAACCGCGGACATTGTATCACTGAATCTGTGTCGACTTCCGAGTATCAAATGATGGATGCGAAGAGACCAGTGTCAATCAATTCCCCAGGCGGCTCAGTTCTTTGCCTGTTCAGCCGCCAGCTCGAGGGTTTCAATTGGTTGGTCTGCTGCCGTCCATTATAATGATCAGAGTGTATGACGGTCGTCCCGTGGGACACTTGGCATCAGCCTTTCTAATGGTAGGCTGAAGCCTCGTGTCACGAGAATATAAAAGCAACCGCTAATGCGTGTGTATTAGCTAACCTTATATTCGTGACACCCCCCCCCCTATAATCTACCGCAACGCGCATAAGATCTAATACCCTAGGGTAGCTAGAGTATTCGAACTGGTATGCCAATTTCAGTCGCCGTTATCCGTCTCCATCCCACGACTCCCAATCAAGGGACTTCCCTGATAAGGGGTTAAAGCGAGGGTCCGGCTAGGGTATAGGTTAGCGTAATCACCTCTCGTCTGCTATAAGAACTTAGAGAACGTAGGCTTTGACTACTAAGCTAACCGGGCTTATAACTACCTAGGTATTACGAGAGTGCAAAAGCGACCGCTAAAACGTGTATATTAGCTAACCTTGTATTCGTGACACCTCGCGAAATTGGAAAGACTGGCTATATATTGAAATGGCAGCATGGTGCTGCTGAACCTGTACCGGTATCATCTGTTGGAAATTCATGGATGGAAGGAGGGTTTCTCAACAAGATGGATCGCTTGGAAGCAGGATTTTCTACGTTAGGGGCCGTGATAACGCTTTTGGGCATAGAAGTGAGCCAGTAAGACCATTGTTCGGTCCTGGAGCGATCCGTAGCTATGGGAATACCGGCCTAGAGCACCAGACATGAGCAGGGCCTTCAGACGTACACATGTTAGCAAAATATACACGCCTATCTTCCAATTAGGCACTCTGCGAGACACGTGCGATGTCAATGCTGGAGTCGCGAAGCCGAAGAAACACATAACTCAAGCTTTAAGTCTCTCAAGAAAATTGATGATGTATACAGTCTAGACAAGATACCAGGACATCTAGAGTGACAAGGTGTGGATGAGCCTGGCTGGCCGAGGAGGGGAGTGGGTCTCATGCAGGTACCATCCGCTGCGCGGCCGATCTGCAGTGTTGACACCGACCTTACATACAGGCCAACAACACGTTTTTGGGCTCAACAGTCTGTGCTTTGCACCGCCCACCTGTCGTGTAGGAACGCAATCAGACTGTCGAACTGACTGGAATCTTGCCGCAGTCTCCACCATAGCCCGATGTGGTGGAGGACATCAGCCCCGAATTACGTCTGGACGGAGTCATTTGTTCAGCACAAGCCAGCACAATTTGCACAACGCCATACTCATAGCGAGCCGTTGCCACCTTTTGGAACATGCGGTGTCCGATACGGTGACCATCAGCATGTCTCTACCTTAAGCGAATCGCGACGTGGAGCCCGCCATGGCCATGGCCACCTGACGGTACCTTGACCACTCTGCAAACCCGGAGTAGCACGCTTAAGGGACGGGGCCATGCCTCAATCAATCACCGGCACGACTTTGACTTTTCGTCGACCCGTCATCCAGCTGTCTAGCCTTCATTTGTTGGCCTCTCCATATTTGGATACTTTCACGACGCTGGCCGGTCTCCACGCTCAATATCATATCAGCACAAGCCTGCCATGGTTCATCGGATAAGTATAGAGACGGGGTGCGCTAAAGCTCCAGGGCGTGCAGGTACTCCTCAGCCGTCAGGAGTAGACCCCCATCAGATCACCTTCTACTTCCAAGCATGGCATATAGAGAACCACCCCGTCAGCGAGTCGGCCGTGAGCAACCGGAAGATGGCCGAGTTCGTCCAGAACAGTCTCACAGAGGTATCAGCTGGGCGCTGGTCCGTGACGACCTCACCTCCCCTGAGGCCAAAGCCAAGTCTCGCTGCCCCTGTGTCGGTATGTCTTCCACAATGTTTATCACCCTTGCGCTCGACAGCTGACAACCCTCCAGATCCGGGTCAAGAGAAAGCCGAGGACGGACGTACAACGGTCGAAGTCAGCAGTCGAGGATGATCGGGCAATAGTGCTTGAGTTCGTCCAGTTCAGGGACAAGGAGTACCCGAAACTCGCAAGGAGTTACTTCCACGATCACCTTCGCCAGCGGGTCGACTTCCACAATGTCTTTGCGGTCACCAAGGGCGGGCGTCGGGTTGAGGAGCTCGAAAAAGTTGTGGTATCTGCGAAGCTAAACATGAGGATGGCTGCTGCATTAGGCACGTTTGGCATGAAGGGTTGGGGAGACGTCTCGGAGGGCTGGTAAGTCATTTTGTACATATCCTCACATCTCGATCGAAGTAGCTGATGCGGCAATGTAGTGCTAGCCCAAGTATCGGCCGGCCAGCAACGCCCGAGGCACCCTTCTCGGCTAGACTCTTCTTAGAGCGCAGATATAGCGATGCTTGGAGTGTAATTGAAGATGGGGCAAGCACTAGATGCCCTGACACTCCAGACGGGGTTGAATCCATCGACGACGAAGACGAAACTCTGATTGCCGACGACGAGCAGCACCAGGAGGAGCAAGGTGATGGAGAGTGGGAGTACATCGGGAAGAATGAAGTCCGCGAGGCATGTGACGAGGAAGCGGAGATGGCAAATAGGCCAACCGGGACTCAGACGGATGGACTACTGGTAAGTGCCCTTCCAGACAGGGCCAGAACGCAGGTGACTAGTACTAATATATATCTAGCCAAAGGATCTCCGCAGTGCGCTGACCCACATCAGCCCTGACTTTTCCTTCTACTTCGCCTGGCACATCATCAAGCTTAGCATGCCATCGCTCGTCAAGTTCATGGCTGGGAAGCTCAATAAAGTTTCCAATTTCAAAAGACGATCAAAGGCTATGCGATCGTATAAGCCATGGATTAGTAGCCGTACGAAAAGACGGGTGAAGCTCCGAGGTCCCATAGGCTTGCCCGTGAGGTTGGCTGTTGCTGGTACTCGGTGGATCTTACGTCAAGTAAGCAAGGTACTGAGGAGGGTCGGGAAAATGCTGGTGGCGCAGGACAGTCACTGATGAAACTTCCCGGAAGGGATACATGCGGATTTCATTTGTTGTGGATTTATTTCGCATATTTGCATGGCGCTGGGGATTTTGAGCTAAACATTGGCAATGGACAAGGGGCATCTGGGTTGGTGATGGACGGCAACCTGGTGGGATATACCACATTTTGATAGCAAATGGATGCCGTGAGACCACATTTTCTTTAGCCGATCCCTTTCGCTTCAACACTTTCCACTCAGCTCGAACCTCTTTCGGAATGTACCAATATAGAAATGTCCAATATCAATCTCACGCATGGGCTTCCGTGGCACTGCCATTCTCGCCGCATCTGCAAAAAATAGTTGCCTATTAAGCTTGGTCCTCTCGAGTACATAGTTACGGCGGGGATAGTTAATGCTGGGGTGTGCGGAATTGGTCATGACTACCTCGCGGCTCGTGGACCTGCTTGGGAATACCGGATCTGCTCATAGGGCTGGGTACATTGAATGCTGGAGAAGTCACATATGTACTGAATCTCTTTGTACTGGGTGAGGTAGATGTCGATACGGGTGTCATGGTCAATACGGTATGCTCCTGCGCTTTCTAGACAATGGTTGCGTTGGTCTTGTGAGCAATAGCTTCGATGTGCCGGGCCCCGTCCAGATGTCCGTTGAGTCTTTGCATTGAGGCTACTATGCATGCAACAGATTCGGAGAAAATCATTAGCTTCACCGAAATCCAAGACATCGACCGTATACTTGAGTTGATATCGAGAACCTCCCACTTCCCAAGTGCAGTGACGCCCCTAGTGAGTCTCTACCTACAACTCGATCTGGGCATCAGTCGCTCGTCCAGCTCTTTACCCATATTTCTATCACACAACCTCAAAGCTTTCCATCCATGGCCATCAGTCGTCTGTCCGCCAAGGACATTCAACGCTTCAAGGAGTTTTTACGCTTCATTACCTTCGCGATCACGGCTCCTAAGAGTAGGGACATACGTGTATTCTATGCAGAGAACAAAGAGGTATATCCTTGGGCATGAATGAGGCGTCGGAGGTCCTAGGTTCGATCCCCTACCCCGAGATCTCAAATGTAGCGAATCACACCAATACCGTTGGTCGTCTTAGTCCCACATGAGGTCGTGTTAGTGTCGGCCTTGGGATACGGGATCTACCGGACCTATGAAGTTTTGGGGTAACCAATGTGCGCTGTAGGAGATGCTAATGTGGGTTGACGGGGGCATTTCGGTAGTAAAAATAGAAACAGATTTCGAATTGCGTCTTAAGCTCGAAAATTATATCAAGCTGACATGCTATAACAATTCCAGATACACGTGTAAGCGAATCTTTGGGTACTCGTGGACATAGATGTGGTTTGAAGATACCTATTATCCGGGGATGTACGCCAATCACGGTTAGGGTTATTTCAGATACCTCTTCATCAGCCCACGTTACGAGACTTGGCTTCTGCGGACGATTCGGCGAACGACATATTATGCAACGCAGCATGCTAGTAGCCTTATGTGGTAGCCCGGGTAGCTCAAGTCAGTATAGTCGCCTGAATCGTGAATGATATCTCAAACTAACCCTTTACAGTGGTTAGAGCTTCAGACTTTTAATCTGAAGGTTGTGGGTTCGATACCCACCTCGGGCGAATTGCTTTTTGCATGTTTTGACTGGTCTCTTGACCTTGATCGTTGTGTTTTGTTATTACTCCTATCGTTCTTCCATTGTTCGGTGAGGAGGTTAATGGTTGTGAGAGATGCCAAGTCTGTCAACTAGTGTCTTGGTCTGTATGAAGTCCGTTCCCTTCTTGCACTCTTCGTTTGATTTGGCCTTCTTTAACATCTCGAAGGGTCTTTGCGCAATGACGACATGATGAAGTTTGATTATCTTATTTCACATCTTCCGTATCATTACGCTTGCGGTCGGGAGTATGACTCTTCAGATATGCCTCATGCATATCTACGTGGTTATTTGCAATGTACCTATATATAAGTAGTGAGCAGGTAGCTTCCGGATTCCAGCAGAAGGTCGTATTGGTATCAGCCAACACCATGACCACAAATAAGTCAGGTATATTATGCATAGCCAACAATCCATAGAAAGCCACATCAACAGCTCTGATGAGATCCAATGTTGTCTTGGACGTGGGTTCCACCGTGTCTGACCATGTGTGTGTGCTACAGTCTACGCGATACCTGTCACCTCGTTCTCTTGTGCCCATCAGCCAGCGCCTCCATTTGCAAACAAATGCAGCTGCCCAGGTGGGCAGTAACGAACGGTACAGTTTCTGACCATCCCAGTTTCAAACGGGAAGGTTTGATAGAAACAGGAACCTCGCTTACTGCCGCTAGGGTACTTCCACCTCCAGCTGCGCCCAACATCGTCTACCACGCGTCCTTTGATATTGACGGCGACATCAATATTAGGTTCCAGGCACCCATTACTTACATCGGGTTGCCCTCATGTCACAACCATATGTTCACCCACAATCGTTAAAGTTGACACCAAACATTATTTTAAATTGGAAGCACTCATAATGAGCTCGTCAGACGACTCGGTCTTGGAGCCGATACCTGAGCCCATTCGAAGGACCGCAGAAGACGAAGTTGAGGACCTCGAAAACGCTTGCGACAATGCAGTCAATGAGGCCTACCTCAACTGGCCAAATGAAGCCGGAGTAAGTTTGGAAATATACACAAGAGGGGACGGGCCTGACATGGTTGCCTCCATGAAATCATAAGCCCATGGGACCAACGCAGTTTTACCGAAGATCTCGGACGCGTCTGAAAACTCGTTTGCTGACCTGTCACTAGTTCGAAAACCTCGACGAGCATCGCGGCCCGATTATTCTCGAGCTTCAAGGCGACATTCCTTGGTGGGTCAAAGGGTCACTCTTCCGTACAGGACCTGGCGTCAACAAGATCGAGGACACCACCACGGGAACCATCCAGCTCTCCCACTGGTTCGACGGATTGGCGCAAACCCACCGATTCGACATCGTGACCGACGAGCACGATGACAGGAAGCTGATCCTGTATTCCTCCAGACGACAATGCGACGACTTTGTCAAGCACGTGCAAAGTGAAGGCCTTGGTGATATGATCACGTTCGGCCAGAAATCAGATCCATGCGTGGGCATGTTTGGAAAGATCGCGAGCTCCTGGAGCGCGGCGAAACCTGGCAGGGCAACGCAGAGGCTGGAAAACGCCGCGGTAACTGTACAGCTTGGCGTCCCAGGGCTTCCGTCTGCGTTATGTGATGTAGATCGCATCGACGCAGAAACAGTTTGGCTCGGCACAGATGCTGGCTTCCTCCGCGAGATCCACCGTCGAACCTTGGAGCCCATCGGCTTTGCCAAGCAGGAGCGTCTGCACCCGGGCCTAAAAGGCCCCCTCAGTTGCGCGCATCCCCAACGATGTCCCGAGACGGGCGACTACTTCAACATCAACATCAGTGGTGGACCAAGGGCGAAATACAAAGTCTTTCGAGTGTCTGCAGCGACAGGAAAGACAGAGATTCTGGCCCAATTTTCATTCCACGACCTGCCCATGGCATACATCCATAGCTTCTACCTCAGCGAGCACTTTGTCATAGTGCGGGTGCCAAGTTCCCATATCTCTACCCATGGGCTGAGTATCCTATGGAAGAAGAATCTGCTCGAGGCCATGGAGCCTTTCGACAAGAGCAAGAGTTGCCAGTGGTTCGTGATTGACCGACATCACGGGAGGGGCCTTGTCGCGAAGTTCGAGACAGAAGCTGCCTTTTTCTTCCACACAGTGAATTGCTTCGACGAGCCAGTGGGCCGGATTCATGGCCCGAAGGTCACTGTGACCATGGACACGATTGAGTACCCGAACATGGATATCCTACATGCCTTGCGATATGAAGTCCTGCTAAACCGTGACGAGAAGGCAAAGGCTGCCTGGGGCACGAAAGAGAAGGCACGAGCCATGCTACCCTATTTTGTGAGAAGGAAGATCGTGATTCCTTTGCCCCAAGAACACGAACCTTCGATATCTCTGACTTCCTTCGCCCGCCTGAAATACGATTACCTTAAATGGAAGTTTCTCAGTGGAGCAGAGGAAGTCGCCCGACGTATCAGGGGCTTTTCGCCACAGAAACTGTCCTGGTTAAGGATCCGGCATCAACGGCCGCTGTCCCAAAATCCTGCTTCACTTGTTGCTAACCCCATCAACATCCCCGCGCCACACATCGGCGAGCTTCCGACCATCAACCCAGACTACCATACAAAGCACTACCGTTATGTCTACTCCCTAGCGATGGGCTGCCAATCCACGCTTGTGGATACTATTATCAAGACAGACCTGGCAACACGCGAGGTTCTGCGTTGGAACAACCCGATTGGACATACACCGAGTGAGGCGGTCTTCGTTGGTAATCCTGATGGGAGCGGTGAGGAGGACGATGGTGTTTTACTGAGCGTTGTGTTGGACGGTCGCGCCGGAACGAGCTACCTGCTATGCTTGAACGCCAAGACGATGAAGGAGATGGGAAGAGCGGACATGGACTTTGCGGTGGGGCTTGGTTTCCATGGTGTGCACACCAAGAGGTTGAGTTGAACTTGGGTAATACGGCACGATTGCATTGGTCAAGAAAGCGTCAGAAAGGCCCAAGGAAGGTGGTCTCGCCCTCGAAAACCGTACTGAGTTCTGTCGAGGGGTATGACTGCGTCCAGTATAGCTCACACAGCAGGGAGCGGGAGGGCGGAAAGCGAGGTGAACTTGGAAAGCGGAAATTATCAATCCTGCAGCAGCCTACGTAGGAACAAAATTGAGAATAACGAACTGGCTGTAGACCCACGGCGGCTCTTGTGACCTCGTGCTTGCTCGAAAGATCACCTAGGCACAGTACAAGTATATCGCAAGCTATCCAGGTCCATGCCAGTGAGTGCCGGACATGCCGGTGGAGGAGCCGAGTCACCGGACTTACCTGGTCTACCTAGGTAATTACTGGACCAATCGGTTGCGTCCCACGTAACAAGTGGAGGTCATGATCACCAACCTGAATGCAGTGTAACATGAGTGGGTACGTTCCGGGGTTGCAGCGGGCGATGCATGTGCGATAGCTACAGCTCGTCTCATCTTGCATCCTTCCTGCTGTGGACGGCATTTTATTCATTTCCCTTCCTCCTGCCGTACCACTCTTCAGGTGATAGTCCGGACACCTTGCCGCTTCGATGCTCCTGCCCTTGCATCTGCCTAATCATCTGCTGTGGACCCTCATTCGTCAGACAAGATACTTCAGCAGTATTCGGAGACTCATAGGCAGGCCAGATCTGGTCTGCACACATATACAAACACCTTACAGGCCATAATGATGCGCTGTAAACTGTGCGCAAAGCTCAACGTCAAATCACTTGACGATGACGACGTGGAGTTTCACAGCAACCTCTTATCTCTCAAGCTCTCCGCCGAGTCTGGATGTGATTTCTGCAACCTCTGTTGGCGACGGATAAAGTTCGACTGGCCCAAAACATATATAGATGCTATGCTCCAGGGCAGGCCTCCGCCAGACACCCCGACCGAGCCACCCTGGGAGTCACAGCTGTGGCTGCGCGGGCAGTTCCTCGACAGGACAGCTTTTACTCAACCAGGAAGTAGTCAGACGCAATCGTGTATATGGCTGAGCTGTGGTAAGCTCTTCGACCGGGAGAACGTTGCGATGGAGTTGAGCACCGAGCTTCGCCTCTTCGCCGTCCCGGGTAAGCCTTGGCAGTGATCCAGATACCACAGCGGTTGACGGGCTATACTGACTCCTGGTGGACTGTTAGGAACTACAGCTGCATCGATCTTCATTGGCCGTATGTCAACACATGATAGGGATCCACAGTTGGCACTCGAAATGGCAAAAACGTGGCTGAACAGGTGCAGAGATGGTGTCGCGCCCTCAGGTCACAAAACGTGCAATACCGATATACGGGATGAGATGCCGACAAGGGTCATCGATCTCGGCTCCGAGGCAGATGTTCCGGATGGCCCCCGACTCATCGCTACAAATAGTCTTCGCGAACAATATCTCGCGTTTTCGTATTGCTGGGGCCCCAGTGCCACCAAGTACCCAAAACTGACAAGAAGCAATCTGACCAGCCTCACCGACAGCATAGCTGAAGAGAATTTATCTGGTGCCCACAAGGACATGTTCCGGGTAGCCAGGGAGCTGGGTGTGCGCTATGTATGGATAGACGCTCTTTGCATCATCCAGGACGACCTTGAGGATTGGGAATACGAATCTCGGCGTATGGGTCAAGTGTACGGCAATTCTCTCATGACTGTGATTGCTGGAAGGTCTGGTGATAGCAGCCAAGGATTCATCGAAAATGATCTTGACCAGGAAGCACCGCCCTGTCCGCTGCCTCTCGAAGAAGGTGGGGAGGGCGTGGATAGCTCAGGACTGTTCGCCTGCTTCCCCCGCTCCAAGGAAATGGGGCCGGCGTCGGCGCGGGCTTGGTGCTTTCAGGAAATGCATCTTAGCCGGCGGTCCCTCATATTCGGCGCAACACAGTTATACTTCAGATGTCGAGAACACTTATACAGCGAAGATGGCTATGGAGGGAAGCTCCCGACCGAAGGGATTGGCACCATGATCACTGCTCGTCCCTCGGCGACGGTGGTGAAGTCCACGAGAATT